CACGACCTCTATATAATAGAGTCATCCACTTGTGGCTGAATTTCTTCCAGATTAGGTTGTTGACCTGCCACTAGGTCGCTTTGTTGATCTTCTTCCCTCAGGATATGGTGACGGTACAATTTGTTTATTTTATTCATACAATTATTTGCCGGTTGACATACCCAGTCATTAAACCATTCTTTTATCATGCCATTGACTCCATAAAATTAATCACATATAATGACAATAGTATAGCAAGCTTACCATTATATTGCCAGTAACATGAGAGATTTTAACACATCAATAGAAAATATTCAAGTAGAAAAAAGTAGAAAAAACAACACTACTATTACAATTTGCTCTTTATTATTAATATCTGCAATTAGTGCTATAGTTTTAGGAGTCATGTATCCAATAACTATACCATACAGTTTAGAAATTTTTAGTGGTTCTGCACTGGTCTTATTGGTTGCAGTAGAATGGCAAGGTGTTTATAAGAACTACGTAAGTTCTACAGGTCGTTCAATTTAACCTTAAAAAAGATAGACCTCTTTTGAAATCGACCGTGTTTTTCCTGCGGTTGTTTCCATTAGAAATAGGTTTTGCTTTGTAGTACAGGTTTTAATTCTAGATTTAGTCTTTTTTAATAAAAATATTATAATCTTAATTATATTTGTTAATAATATAAAGAGTTATGAGTGGTGAAAAATTGAAAGAATTATTAAAGCAAGCAAGTTCTACTGAGGGTGTAAGTCGTGAAAATATTATTGATATTCTAAAAGAAATATTAGCGCAAAAATTTCCACATGCACATGAAGGGTGGGAGAAAAGCAAGTATGGCGAACTTAGTGTTAATCACTTATTTTCATTTCAAGATGAACCTGTAAAAGAATTGGAGAAAAGCGAACTTGATATAAAAGAAAACGAACTTGATATAGATGAAGGATATGAGGAAGGCGAATTTGGTATTGATCCACTGAATCCTGAAGATATAAATATAATAAGATGGGAGAAAATAAAATGGGAGGAAGACGAATTTGATAACTTATCTCCATCTCAATCTGAATTGATAAGTGAAGTGGCAGAAAATGTATTGAGTGATAATGACGAATCTCCGGAATTGCAAAATGAGAATACAGGTGATGAATTCTCATTATTATACATGGCTGCTTTTTATGGCATGTTAGAATTAGTGGATATTCTATTAAAAGCAGGTGCAGATCCTAATATACCAGATAATAATGGAAGTACTGATTTACACAGGGCTGTTAAAAATGGGCATAGAGAGGTGGTACGCATTCTATTGGACAAAGGTGCAAATGTTAATGCTGCAGATATATATGGCAATACTCCTTTGCATTACGCCGCTCAACATGGTGATGAAGGAATAATAAAGATTTTATCAGCAAAAAGTGCAGATAATGCATTAGAGAATATTGAAGGTAAAACTCCAATATCCTTAGCTAAAGATGATGAAACAAAGAAGTTTTTAAAGGATGCAGAAAATGAAAGTACTTACCTCACAGATATTGAAATAGAAAAGTTATGCAAAGCACAAGCTGATGGTAAAACCCGTTACTAGACCTATCCACTAGCAGCATGAAATTTCATGCTGCAATTACTCTCATAGGTTTTGCAAGGTCTATTGTTGTACATGATGATTTCAGGTATTATGGGTTGATATTTAACTATAATCACCGCATGTCAAATGTAATTACTAGATTTGCTCCGTCACCAACTGGATTTTTGCATATAGGAGGTGCTCGTACTGCTTTATTTAGTTGGCTGTATGCAAAACACCATGGAGGTAAATTTTTACTGCGCATTGAAGACACTGACCAGAAACGTTCAAAAAAAGAAGCCATTGATGTAATAACAAACGGTCTTAAATGGCTTGGAATAGATCATGATGGAGAAATAGTATACCAATCAGAAAGAAGAGAGCGGCATATAGAAGTAGCAAATCGTTTAGTTGAAATGGGTAAAGCATACTATTGTTACTGCCCGATAGATGAGGTTACAGAAGAAAAAGTACGGGCAAGAGAAGGAGGGAAAATATATAAGCATAAATGTACTGCAAATATTGATAAGAGCATCAAACCAGTTGTGCGTTTTAAAGTAGAGGAGCATTCGACACCATCAGAAATTGAGTTTCAAGAAAGGTCTATCATTGTCGATGATAAAGTATACGGACAAGTTAAAATTAGCAGTGCTCAGCTTGATGACATGATAATCTTACGTTCTGATAACACCCCTACATATATTTTTGCTGTGGTGGTTGATGATCATGATGCTGGAGTTACTCATATAATACGAGGTTCTGATCATCTAACTAATACTTTCAAACAACTATTGATATACCAAGCTCTTAATTTTAATGTTCCCCACTTTGCACACGTGCCACTTATTCATGGGGAGGATGGCAATAAATTATCCAAAAGACATTGTGCAACAAGTATATGTGATTACGAAAAAATGGGAATATTGCCTGAAGCAATGCGTAACTATTTACTCAGACTTGGTTGGAGTCATGGCAATGATGAAATCATTGGTGATGAACAAGCGTTAGAATGGTTTAATTTAGATAGTATTGGCCGCTCACCTGCACAATTAGATTTTAAAAAGTTGGAGCATTTAAACAATTATTATATTAATAATACAAGTAATGAAGATATTTTAAGTATACTTACCCCAAAACTTAACCTTACTGATAAAAAAAGGAACTACTTGCTTCAAGGACTAACAGAATTAAAAAAGAGAGCAAATAATCTAATTGAATTATTAGATTCAGCTAAATTTTATACAGAGGATTTACCTCTTTCTTTAAGTGAAGAAGCTCACAAAATTATTATTGCTAATTTAAGCACAATCGACCTGCTTACTTCATTTTTCTCGCATATTAACAATGAAGATTGGCACAAAAACTCCCTATCCACTCAGATCAAAAAATTTGCAACATTGCACGATATGAAAATGAGTGATATTTACCACTCACTGCGTGCTCCCATAACTGGAGTGATGGATGCGCCGGGAATCATTGATATAATGGTAATCCTTGGTAAAGAGGAATGCATAAAAAGGTTGCAATATTCTAAGCACTATATTTAAGAAAAACATGTTTCCTGTATTTGGCATTGAACTAGAATTTTATATCGAAGGAATAGAAGCAGATTTATTTCTTAATGATATTGAAAACAAAATAGGTTTGTTTGGATTTTCTTGCGAAAAAGAAAGTTCTCAACATCAATATGAAGTAAAAAGTTGTTGTTATACCAACTCCAACGATCTAATTAAACACTTTGAATCTGTCAAAGAAATACTTGCAGACACAGCACATAAACTTGGTGGCAGTGTTTCTTTTAAAGCAAAGCCTTACTTGGATAGAGCAGGTAGCGCTTTAAATGTACATGTTAATTTAGTAGATCTAGATAATAATAATTTATTTTATGCTTATGATAGTAATCACCTGCTTTATAGCATTGGTGGGTTATGTGCAATGATGAAAAAACATATGCCATATTTTGCTCCAAGCGATGATTCATACTTAAGGTTCCGATATCCAGATATCAATACACCAACTACAGTTAGCTGGGGTATGAATAATAGAACCGCTGCGATAAGAATTCCCAACTTCGCTGGTAACTTCAAAAAATGCCGCTTAGAGCACCGTGTTCCTGGTGCAGATTGTACCCTGCAAGAAGTACTAATGGCAATAACGGAAGGTATAATTTTCGGCATAAAGAACAAAATTATTCCACCAGAGAAAGTATATGGTATCGCTTCTGATTCTCAATATGGCATGGAAAGATTAATATAACCCAACCTTCAACGTTCAGAATCCCCAAAAGCTTATTTTACTTCTTTTTTTCCTTTTTTATACCTCTAAATTTTCATGCGTAGGCCCTGAGCTTATATTACTTAAATTCCATTTTAGGGTAATTTTATTTTTTAAATTTAGTGTATTTTTTACTTCGGTAATTCTTCTATTGTTATTACAATAGCAACAGTAATTCCATTATGTAGGTATGAGGAAAAATTTTAAGAATAGTGAGAAAAATCTACAAGAATTCTACGATAAGATTGATGACATAATGACTACTAGTCAGGATAAGTTTGCGCATGAAATCGAGGATTTGACGTATGATAATGCACAAAAGTTTCGTAATTTACTTATTAAAGAATTAAACTCTATTTTTAAAAATATCCACTCTCAAAATGTAGATATATTAAAATCTAGTTTAATAAGTTATGCTGTGAACTCAAATTTTATTGCTAAAAAGGGGGAAGCAGCTTTAATGCGTTCTCTTCTCAATGCAGTGGAGCACACAATCAAAAATTTATAAGTACAAAAGTTAAAATTTTAAACACTTTTGTTTGTACAAATGTTTGCGATACTAAAACACAAATAGAGGTATTACTTAATTAGATAAAAAAAGGGGGGTTATAATGTTTACTTTATCAAAAAGTCCGATTGTATATGTGCAACGCACATCTAAATCTGAGCCTTTTCCTGTGACTTTGGAAGGGGTAAAATTATTCTTGCGTGTTGAAAATAATCAAGATGATGATCTGATTTTAAGTCTCATTGCCATGGCAACGGAATACGCTGAATGGCATATGGAAAAATCGCTAATGAAGCAAACATGGCAAATTTCATATGAAGGCTATATACCACGTAGAATCTATCTAAGCTATGGCCCTGTTAAAGAGATAATATCAGCTACTGCAATAACATCCACAAATCAAGAGAGGCAAGAGATTAAGTACTATTTTAGCAATGTGGGAAGCTATGTTGAATTTCAGAGTTCTCCAAATACAAAAATGGTTAATGTTACATATGAAGCTGGTTACGATACTGTTCCTGAGCAGATTAAATTAGGAATTATAAAACATGTTTCTAAACTTTACAAAAACCGTGAATCAGACATAGGCAACTACTTATCTGAGATAAAAAAGGCATATTTCCCATTTCGTAATCCAAGGGTTGTACTATAAATGGAGGTTGATTATGGAAGAAATTCAAGCCATACATAATAGTATTTACTCCACACTCAGGGAAAATACTAACTTAAGGAAGTATGTCACTAATATTTATGATTACTTACCTAAACAAGTTTCAACTCCCTATGTGAAGTTGCATGTAGTAAATTATAAAAATTTACATATGTTATCTAATTTTGCTATTAAAGCAAGATTTTCATGTGATGTGTATACCTATCACATAGATAGTATGTTCAATATTATAAAACACATTAACTTGATATTAAAAGATATTAAATATCTTGATATCGTAGAAAATAATTGCGTCATAAATCAGTATGATGAAATTTTACACTCGGTGATTAATTTTGATGTATTTTTTAAAGGAGTGAGCAATGAAAAAATTACAATTGAGAATTAAAGATTATGATAACAATTATGTTACATTAAATAACATACGAAACTTAAGGTTTACTTTACGCAACAATAGAGAAGAGATAAAAGAAATCTCCTCTCTTGGTTGGCGAAAGGCATTAGATTATGCTGGAAGTAGATATATAACAATAAAAATCAACGGGATTTTAGACTGTATGATAGCTGATAGATTACTACATAACTCTGCTATGTTAAATTCTATTAATGGTTATGAAATAAATTATGGTGATGAAGAGAAAATTAGTTTGCAATGTTCAGTTGAATTATATGAAAGATATTATGATCCGGCTGCTTTTGACAATTTTACTGTGACTTTAACAAGTACTGGAGTTGTAAATACGTTCTTTTTAACGACAACCGAAAATCGAGATTTAAGGGACGTTTGTTAGACTGTAAACAACTAGACTTCTAGCATTTGTACTGTATAAGAAAGTGATATTTTATTTCAACTTTTCAATTTATATGTTCTCAGTGGACAAAATTGCCATCAAAAATTGAATTAGAAAGAAGTCTATTTACACTTAATCCTTACCATCATACTCTGGAACCATACATCTAAATAAATCATACGTGTCAAGTTAAGGGGGAAGCATGTCGATGACAAAACTGCCATCAACACACATACTAAAAGTTGGCTACTCTTTCCCCTACCCGTATCTGAATTATGCCTTCTCCTACTGTATCTACTTGAGAATTAGGTTTTAATATCTGATTTATGATCTTTCCTAATGCATGCAGTTTTAGTTTAGGCTCATGCCTTTCATTTACATCTCCAAAATCTACCAAATCAATCGGGTACTTTTCCTCTCTTCCAATTTTTAGTACAATATCGTTTGTGTCTTTCTTAAAGAAATTCTCTATTTCCTCAAGTGTCATTGTTTGAAAATCACTCCCATAATATTGTGATAAAACATCAATTAATGGTTTATGATTATGTAAGAATGCCATCTTTTCTACAAATCCTAGATTATATGAACTTAATTGTAAGCCAGAATTTTTCAGTTCTGTTATGTGTTCGATCATGTGTTCATACACATCTGTTTTTTTATGTGCAATAGCCTTGGATAAAGGATTCATTCCATTCTCATTTACCAAATTAATATCTGCACCTGCTGCTAATAGAGCCTTTACTATCTCTAGATGACCGCCTGCAGCAGCCCTATGTAGAGCTGTTTCTCTATTACCACCTGCAGCATTAACATTTATACCTTCTTTTTTTAACAGAGCCTTTACTATCTTTAGATGACCGCCTGCAGCAGCCCAATATAAAGCAGTTTCTCCATTGTTATCTGCAGTATTAACCTCTATACCTTCGGTATTTAATAGGCGATTTACTACCTCTCCACGACCATATACAGCAGCCCAATATAGAGCAGTTCTTCCATTTTCATCTTGAACATTAACATTTATATCTTCTTTTTTTAACAGAGCCTTTACTATTTTTACAAAACCACATTCAGCAGCCACACATAAAACAGTTTCTCCTTTGTGATTTGCAGTATTAACATTTGCACCTTTTTCTATTAAAATCTTTGCTATATTTATAAAACCACCTTCAGTAGCCAAATATAAAGCAGTTTCTCCATTGTTATCTGCAGCATTAACATTTGCCCCTTTTGCTATTAGAGTCTCTACTACCTCTGCATAACCCTTTCTAGCAGCCCAATGTAAAGGAGTGTATCCATTTTTATCTTTAGCATGAACATCTACACCTTTTTCTATTAAAAATAGTATTATTTCTGTATGACTCTCTTTAACAGCATAATGTAAAGGAGTTCTTCCATTTTCATCTTTAGCATGAAGATCTGCACCATTTTTTACTAAATACTCCACATCCTCTATCCGAGCCTCTTCAGCAGCAAAATGTAAATCAGTTTTTTCACAGTTATCTATAGCAAGCATAATTTCTTTCTAAATTAATATATATAGTTAAATATATAATATTTTTATTAAAAAGTCAAATTTTCTACTTTAAGTTGTATTGATATTATCTTCTAGAATCAAGGTGGAAACGATTAGACCTCTTTCGAAGCTGATGGCAATTATGCTAATGGGGTTTGCAATGGGTCTATTAATTATCTAATATCCATCCACCGCCAATGACCTGCTCACCTTTATATGCTACACAAGCTTGGCCTGGACTAATTCCAAAATAGTCATTACTTAAAATAACACAGGCTTTATTTTTTTCCTCAGTGGAATATATAGTTGCTAGACTTCCTGTATGTGATGATCTTAGTTTTACAGTTACTTCTTGGCCTTCTTGTGGTTGTTCCAGCCAATTTAGCTCTTTTATAAATATTTTTTTTTGCATTAACATATTTATGGGACCAACCACTACTTCATTATCTTTTGCATTGATTTTTACTACATAAAGAGGTTCACCATGGGCAATACCAAGACCTTTTCTTTGTCCAACAGTAAAATTTATAATGCCATTGTGTTCTCCCAAAATTTCTCTATTCATGTTCACTATTTTACCTCTGTGCACAGATTGTGGAGCTAGCTTAGTTATTGTTTTACTATAATTTTCAGAAACAAAACATATATCTTGACTGTCTGGTTTCTCAGCGATTTTTAAGTCAAAATACTTTGCAAGCTCTCTCACGCTGCTTTTATGAAATTGCCCTAAAGGAAATCGAAGAAATTTTAATTGCTCCGAAGTGGTTGAAAATAGAAAGTAACTTTGATCCTTGCTTTTATCAATACCTGTACATAATCTGACTTTACCATTTTCTTCTAATCTCCTTACGTAGTGCCCAGTTACTAA